ATATATCGTCGAAAGTATTTTAATTTAGTGAAAAAAGAAAAAATACGTGTCTAAAGTTTTAAATTAATGTACCAGACGGATATTAAAATAAAATTTAGGAAACTACCCTATTGTTTCGGAAATATAATATTAAAACAAGACTCGAAATCACGCTTTGCAAATTAAACAGAGGTCACATAGACAATGTAACATTAATTTTACAATAATTTTATTATGAGTCTCATGTAATAGGGGATGAATCTATTGAAATACCGATAAAAGTCCCCATAGTAAATGGATCGATCTTAAACCAATAGAATGTCGCGGAGAACCTAACGGGTAACCGGGGCTCCAGCTCGACGTGCAGGAGAAGGAACGGGGTGGTTTTTAGTCAGTAAGAGTCTGACACTCCCTTCCGCCTCACCCAGGCGGGAGCAGTCATTCGATGATTTTCCCCCCCTTAAAAAAACAACCAATAGAATTGTCACCGTTTAAGTTGTATTACACCCTTTTTCACGAACCTCTCCTAAATTCTAAGGAACCCCTAAGCTAAGATAGGTTCAGCGACATTATGGTTTTAATCAACCTATAATAAGTGACACCCAGCAGTTCATATTTTGGTCAAAGTATAGATATTATAAAATGGTTGATTAACTTTTCTGTACCACTATTAAATCGTAAAAACATGTTGCTGTTCATTTCAAACATCATATATAATAACATCACGCCTTTTATCCCCGAAGGTAGGCAGAGGTGTAATCACGGCACTTAATGCCACTGTACAATGTAACACCAACTTTTCACTATTTATGTTATGAGTCCCATGTAATAGGGGGTGAGCCTATTGCCATATACCGGGCACAATTCGTTCTAATATCTTTTTTAATCAATATTTATTTGTTTCTGATGTTTTGAATACGATAAATAATAAAGGTATCTACTTTAAACAAAAATTGTTAAATTCACAACATGAACTAGAAATAAATTTAAAATTGATTTTAATTAGACTTTCTATTCGTTTAAAATTTATTCTAGCAAGGCTACTTATTTTAATTTTTGATATCAGCTTCAAAATTACCTATCTTAGTCACCATCCAAGTTATCTAGTATCATCATCAACAGCCTATAAATGTCCACTGCTGAGCAAAGCCTCTTCTCACACGGAGAAGGTTAGAGCATTAATCACCACGCTTGCTCAATGCGGGTTGGCGATTTCAAACTTACAATTAGAAATTATAAGTCCAGGTTTCCTCACGATGTTTTTCCTTCACCGTTTGTCAGTGGTGTCTAAATAATCTTAGAAAGTACATATAACTCGGAAAAAGTCACATTGGTACTTGCCGTTGGTAGGTTTCGAACCCGCAACCTCATGCATGAGAAGTGGGCGTCTTAAACCTCCGGGCCACCACGACAAGTTACTAGTAAAAGTTATCTAGTAGTTATCTAGTATGCAGGTAAGCAAATAGTTTTCTTTATATATGATGGGCCAACGTTTGACCACTATCTCGCGTGGTGGTAAGCGATGATGCGGTCTACGATGGAGCACGTCGACCCATAAGCTACCTATACACTCGGGCCTTGAAGACACCCAGATTTGATTCAGCTATTGTTATACTGTTATGCTTTGTAACGAAGCCATATCTTTTGTAACCATTGGTCGGCTCTAGACAACCAATGGTTACTGTCTCTGTACTGAAACAATCTTTATTTTCTTAACTGCATACTGAATTGGCTGGTTACATGCGAAATTCGTCTTTATTGTAAAATTACTTGAAACTAATCTACTTGAGCTATGAATTTTAATCTAATTCTGCTATTCAAATAATCCGATGTATGTACTGTCAAAGGTCAAAAGTCCACTGCCACCGTAAGACTACTATCTGTTGCGCTGCAGCGCTTATACACACACACACATACACACACGCATATTTTTATCCGTGTGCGTACGAGTGCGTGTGTTTATACGTACGCACACGTTTTATGCACATTAATATGAAATAACGTACGCATTGCCGTGTGGACATCACTCACGGCGGCAGTGGACTTTTGACCTTTGATTGTATACACGGCCACACATCAATCTATACAAAACCAGTTTATCTTTGTGTCGCGTCGCATCATCTTTCCGCACATTTAACGTTCAGTTTATACTGGTTATGCAAAGCTTGATGTGTAGCCGTGTGTACGACGTTGCACTTGACTAGCTTAGCTAGCGCAGTAATTATAATAGGAAAGAAGTATAATAGATCCCGAGCTACTTACTAATATGGATGATGACATGGTAAGAAAATCTATAGGTACAGAACCAATTTATCTAACGCCAGCCAGATAAATTTTAACTGAAAAATAACTTTGAATATTTGACAATTCTTCTTCCATACTAAAATTGTCATGTGTCGATTTTATTCGACAGTTAAAAATTAACTGATGACTGAAAAATCGTCCCTCAGTCCGTCAGTTAGATAATGAAAAAATATTAAACACGTATTACTTTTATTTTGTCGTATAACAAAACAATATTTAGATAAAACGAATCAAAGTTTAGGAGTCGGAGCTAAAACGTCATTTCTACGTATAAAACGTACATAGAAGTGACGTCACGCGACATTTCAAATCAATATATCGTCAAAAGTATTTTGTTTCTGTAAGAAAATAAAAATACGTGTCTAATGAATTAAAATAATCTACCAGACGGACATTAGAATAAAAATTAGTCATACTCTATTGTAAAAAAAAATCATCTAGGTATTGTAACTTTTAGCCCGAATTTGATATCAAACGAGGCATTGTACACCTCAGACTTCATTCTTGTGATCTACAGTCGTATCTAGCCACTAGACTAGATCAAGAAAGCGAACCGATTGTATTATGACAAATTACAAACTACAATAGGGTAGACGACTAATTTTTATTTTAATGTCCGTCTGATAGATTATTTAAAAACATTAGACACCTATTTTTTCTTTTCTCACAGAAACGAATAGTTTCGAAGATATATTGATTTGAAATGTCGTGTGACGTCACTTCTCAGTACATTTTATACTAAGAAATGACGTTTTAGCCCCCACTCCTAAACTTTGATTCGTTTTATCCAAGTATTGTTTTATTATACGACAAAATAAAAAAATACGTGTCTAATATTTTTTCATTACCTAACTTACGGACTAATTATATTTTTAATTTTCATACCCTGTCATCATCCCCATTTTGTTTATAACTAGCCAAATTAAATTGTTATAACTAGCTTGGGTTGCAGATGCGTTGTAGGTATTGCCGGAAACGGAGATGAAAGAAAACGAAAGAACTTTATAGTTATTATGAGTCTGTGTATTGGCGTCAGGATATTATTGATACATAAACATAACATCACGCCTTTTATCCCCGAAGGGGTAGGCAGAGGTGCACATTATACCACTGTACAATGTAACACCCACTTTTCACTATTTATGTTATGAGTCCCATGTAATAGGGGGTGAGCCTATTGCTATATACCGGGCACAATTCCAGACTCCGTGCTATTACTGAGAATATTTAAAAACCCAGTAATACTTTGCCCGACCCGGGAATCGAACCCGAGACCCCTTGTCCGGCAGTCGCACTTACGACCACTCGGCCAACGAGGCAGTCAGATATTATTGATATTACACTTAATAAGGGACATAGAATACTAGAAACAAAACACGATAACGGGAGCGAGCGAGAGCCGCGGTAGATGAAAGTAAAACGCATGTGTTGTGCACTGCGGCGTCCGCGCGACTGTTGCGAGTTCGCGCGCCTACGTTACCGGCGGCCGGCGCCGGAGCTCAGCGAGGCCTGTGCGCGCAACGGCCTTTAACCGTGCGGCCGCGCACGTATATTGTATCCACTCCTTTAACCCACCTAACGACCGCACGCTACATTGTTTTATTTTCGACACTATCAAAATTTTAGAAAATTTCTATCTTATGTCTTAAATTTGTACGATATTGACGTCAATTAAACATTGAAATGAAATTACATTAAGGTGCTTCCCTCACCGGGAGCATTCGCGTGTAATGTAACGTTACAGATCTGAGCATTACATCAGTGAAGGAGGAGAACCGAGCATTACAATGCGCTCCTTGTAATTATACAATGCGTAATACCTTGATACAACTTGTAACATCAATGCGCTCCACTCCCCCCGACCCCGCGCACCCGCTTCGTCTGACATCTTGCTATGAAATGCTCAAAGTCAAGTATCAATATGTTCCATGACACGGAAATGCTCGTTAGTCAGGGTGGTATTATTGTAATGTAATGCTCAAAGTCGAACCTATAAGGTTACGTAACACGTGAATGCTCCCGGTGAGGGAGCACTTTTAATATAAATAACAATAATAAACCAACAGACCCGACAAGCTTCGTATTGCTTAAAAAAATTTATCTTACCTTTTAAAACCTTCTCTGAACTTCACACGAACATTTCATGACCGAAATTAGTCAAATCAGTTCAGCCGTTCTCTAGTTTTAGCGAGAGATCGAACGGAAATTTAATTTTTATTAATATAGATCAATATTTACCTAATTCATAAAACGCAATATTACAATATTATAATACTTTAATACGTCTCTAAAAAAACTTCATGATTTTTTCATATTACCATCCCCTACAAACATTTGTAAATCATCGGGCCCCAATGTAACACGATATAAAATTACTTGTAAATCATTGGGCCCCCACATAAGTACGCAGGGGCCCGCAACAATCCTAATGCGGCCCTGTACCAAAGATTTTGTATTGTATTTTTTTGACGTTTGGCCACAATCTCGCCTAGTTATAAGCGTAAGCTAGGTGTAATGGTCTTATTTAGTTTGCCCCGTTTGTTATAATAATAATCGTGATTCCACCCCCTTCCTGACGACAGATCGATGTGATATTTGGTACACACTCTTAATCTTGATGACCATACAATATAATCTAATTATTTCCACAACTACCGTCACTATGGATATCAAAGGAAAGTCCTTGATTGGTAGAATAGAGCTCATTGATGCTTTGTTTAATATTCGTCCGCCATTATAAGTACTACGAGAGCTGTCCAGCCGTTGAATGGCTTGCACCCTGATCCCTTACCGTCTTCTGCTGAATATTGCTCGAACAAGTATCCTGTTTTCTTGTATTGATTTAGAATGTTACCTGAAACACAAATATATATTTATTTATATTCTTCTTTGTCCAACAGGAGGGGAAAATCATCGAATGACTGCTCCCGCCTGGGTGAAGCGGGAGGGAGTGTCAGACTCTTACTGACTAAAAACCACCCCGTTCCTTCGCCTGCACGTCGAGCCGGTTACCCGTTAGGTTCTTCGCAACAACAGGAGGAGTTAGCAATGACTTACAACCAGATTCTAATGATATAATCATAAACAGCCTAGTTATTTTGTACGCAGGTAAGAAAACAAAGATAGATTCAGTACAGAGACAGTAGCTATTGTTATACTGAACGCTGAACTGCTTTGTAACGAAGCCATATCTTTTGTAACCATTGGTCGGCTCTAGACAACCAATGGTTACTGTCTCTGTACTGAAACAATCTTAGTTTGTTTACCTGTATACTATACTAGTGACCCACCCTGGCTTCGCACGGGTGCAATGCTTATGTAATTTACGACATTACATTAGAAATCTCTCTGCATGTATTATACATATAAACTTTCCTTAAGAATCACTCTATCTATTAAAACAAACCGCATCAAAATCCGTTGCATAGTTTTAAAGCTCTAAGCATACATAGGCACAAACAGACGGCGGATAGCGACTTTGTTTTATACTATGTAGTGATCAGCATCAACAGCTACTGATAGGTCACTGTAAGACTATCTCTCTGTATGGATCTCCTCTACAAGACAAGGGTTTGCCATAATCTGCGCTTGACAAAAGAATTGAAGTTCAAAGGCTTTAGGTTCATCAAAGAGTGCTTTAATCCAGTCTTTTAACCTGGGTATACGAAAGATAAAGACATTTATTTGCATAAAAATTAATGTCGTCGATCATGGCAAGATGGAATGGCCTTAGCACTGAACGTTTGGCTATTGCTACTATATTGGCTCACATTTCTCAATTTGATCGCCGTGTGCAACGCTTATCTTTAGTAGTATTGATGTAGTAGTATTGGTGGAGCAGTAGTGGTGACAAGTACATAAACGCACGCACCAACCTCCTACAGCGCGCGCCCCTGACGCGGGCGCTGCGGACGCTCAATGTGATGTCGGAATACATTGACTTATTTTATTGTACACTGAACGAATTCAGAAGAGCCTGTTACTATACCTGTACCCATCTGTGACTTGGCCTAAGGAATATGTTTGTTACCATAGTTATAAATGTTGTAGTACCAAATTGTAAAATTAGACTTTGTAATTTAATTTTATTAATATTGGCATACACTATTGCATTAGGTATTAGTTCCTGTTAGGATAGTAGTATGTATATAGTTTAAAAAAAATATATATACTTACGAACAACATTATCCCTGAGTCTCCCGTTCAGTTCAGCGGCCCTGGCAGCGTGTGGGCCCCCGGCGTTAGCGTAGTGCTTGAGAGAAGACAGGGCCAGATAGTTTATAGGGACCCAAATCTGGCCCCGCCAGTATGGAGGGTCATGTTCGGTGTTCCTCTTCATGTATAGTGGCGCGGATTTTGATAGGGACCTGTTACGATGGTTTAATCCTTTGAGTACCGTCATTATAGACACAATTAAAGAACAATAGGTTGCGGTCACCGGTGTGCTCGCGGTGTTTGACAGTTTAAATTTATTATTGAGTGTTGAAAGGCCGACTGCCGGGGTCTCGGGTTCGATTCCAGAGTCATGCAACGTATTACTGAGTTTTAAAAACATTCTCAGTAGTAGCACGGAGTCTGGAAATGTGCCCGGTGTATGGCAATAGGCTCACCCCTTTTTATATGGGATTCATAAGATAAATAGTGAAAAGTGGGTGTTACATTGTACAGTTGCATTAAGCGCCTTAAACTGTCAAACACCGCGAGGACACCGGTGACCGCGACCTATTGTTCTTTAATTGTGTCTATAAAACCGGTACTCGACGAGTTAATGTGGACCTCTGCCTACCCCTTCCGGGATAAAAGGCGTGACGTTATTTTGTATTGTTTGTGTACATAAACCAGTAAATTAATAATTAAATAAGACTAGCTATAAACTACTCTGTTACCCAACTAGATGCAATCGTTTAGTAATGATAAGTGCATTAAACAGGACCTATCCTTACTTATATTATAAATCGGAAAGTGAGTTTGTTTGTTTGTTCTACTTTAACGCCGTAACTACTAAACCGATTGCTTTGAAATTTTGCAGACGTAAAGTTACAAGTCCAGATTAAATAATAGGGTACTTTTTATCCCTGAAAAATTTGATATTCCCGAGGGAAAACAAAAGTATTGGTATAGGTGGCGCTGTGTGTATTTGTATATGTCACATTGGCTTTTTATCCTTTTGTGACGAGAGCGAAGCCGCGGGTAAAAGCTAGTTTTTAATATGCAAGAATTTACCTTAAACCATAAGGCGACCACAGTAGCTCCGGTTTGTCCAAGTCTTCGAGGATCTTGCCTAATTTGTCACTGTCCGGTTTAAGGACCTTCATTAACATTGGGAATAGGGAGACGTAACCTGGAAAAGTATAATAGAAGTTAGAATAGAAGTTGGCTCGGTTGAGTGACTACAAACAAGACTGCCAAATAAGGAAATTGGGTTCGATTATCGGGTTGGATAAAATATTGTTACATGTTTTTCGGTTTTTCCACATTTTTCATACTATCATCCAGATACATATAATAAATAAACTAGATAGTACCTCTCTGGTCTCTAGTAGTTGGCCGAGTGGTCGCAATTGCGACTGCCGGGTAAGGGGTCTCGGGTTCGATTCCCGGGTCGGGCAAAGTATTACTGGGTTTTTAAAAAATTCTCAGTAGTAGCACGGAGTCTGGAACTGTGCCCGGTATATGACAATAGGCTCACCCCCTATTACATGGGACTCTTAACATAAATAGTGAAAAGTGGGTGTTACATTGTGCAGTGGTATAATGTGCACCTCTGCCTACCCCTTCGAGGATAAAAGGCGTGATGTTATGTTATGTTACTAGATAGTACTATATAAAATCAATGTTTTTGGTAAAATATGAAATGTAATGCTATTATTATTATTTCTACACCGGAGACGGTTGTGTATGTGACACTGCTGTATTTTTAAGATCTGTGTGCACCATTTACTGAGAAATAAACGATATTATTATTATATTGTTATTATTAAGTAGCGTCATCGCAAAATCGTGGTAATTTTGAAAATATAAAAAAAAACCAATATTATCCAACAATAGTTTGACCGACCCAAGAATCTAATCTGATATTATTGCTTTGTAGTGACACTTGAGACTACAAAACCTTAAAAATGATATTTTTTTAGTTTTTCAAACATCTAGCTAGACTGTAGTTTCAGCTATGTATACAAAAAAAAACTTCATTGTACAATTTTTTTTTTTGTACGGCATAAACCGGTTAACGAGCAGACGGATCGCCTGATGGTAAGCAATCGGCGTCGCCCATTGACACTGGAACACCAGAGGCGTTACAAGTGCGTTATCAGCCTTTTGCGGATTAGGAGTTTGAGGGTCGTTGGAGGTTCAGGGATTTTTTTTTAAGTGGTGAATCATCGAAGGGAAGGGGAGGGGTTCCAAGGTAATTGGGCCTCCGGTAATCTCACGCACACGACGAAACACAACACAAGCGTTGTTTCACGTCGGTTTTCTGCTCGGCCGTGGTATCACTCCGGTCGAGCCGGCCCATTCGTGCCGAAGCATGGCTCTTCCACACTTAGATTACTTACTTACATTTCTACAGCTAAAATATTAATAAATATCGTACCAAACGCCGAAGTCACCAGTCTTGGTTGTGGTGGTACTGTGACGCTCCTCACCACCTTCGCTGGCTCCGAAGGATTCTTCGGCTGTTGACGAACTAATTTCACTCCATCCGTGTGAAGACCTGGTAACAAGGATTTATTTTGAAGTAGTGTTGATGACCAAAACTCAAGACCAAAGTAACGAAACCATAAAATGCATATTCATTAATTTAGTTCAATTTTATATAACTAGATGGCGTTGCCGCGATTAAAAGCAAGCTATGGTTTCGTTACATCGACTTGCTTAAGATAGTCATTTTTTGTATGTACTGAGTTCGAACCAAAACGAATATAATTAATTATAAACCAGCAGTTCAAGCGCTAATTACGGAGTTTCAATTTAACCCCTATTAGTAGCTACAGTAGGTCAACTTTACTTGGGTAAAAAACATGTAGTCTCTAGAACCTGGTCCTCGAGTCCTATTGATTGTAGCGCGATGGTTTAAGGCCGATAGCCAACAAAAATTACTTTAATATTTGGACTTATAGTTCCCAAGATTGCCTCATTGGCCGAGCTGTCGCAAGTGTGATTGCCGGGCTTTTAAAAAATTCTCAGTAGTAGCACGGAGTCTAGTGCCCGGTATATGGCCAGCTCACCCCCTATTACATGTGACTCATAACATAAAATAGTAAAAAGTGGGTGTTACATTGTACAGTGGCATTAAGTGCCGTAATGTGCACCTCTGCCTACAACTTCGGGGATAAAAGGCGTGATGTTATGTCAGTTCCCGAGATTAGCTGGTTCAAAACAACTTCATATTTTTTATGGTAGGGGAAAGTCCCGTCCAGAAAGTCCGCAAGTCCCTTAAGCCGTTAGGTGCCGTCCGGCGTTAAGGGACTTGCCCCTATAAGACGGTAAACGAGCAAACGGATCACCTGATGGTAAGCAATCGGCGTCCTCCATGGACATCTGGAACACCAGAGGAGTTAAGTTGCCGGCCTATTAGATTGGGGATTTGGAGAAATGCGACTGGGAGATTAAAAGTAGGAGGGTAGAGGGTTCTTACTTACCATAGTCTGCATATGTCTGTGTATGAGTAGACCAGTGGAGCTCGTTAAGTAGTTCTTCATCACCCAGCTGGTCTTTTGTAGCTTCATACCTGTTTTAATATCAAGCAAAGTTTGTCAGTTTGCGTGTACATTTGATACTTGTACTAACCAAAAAAACACCTTCATTGTAATAGGGTAGACGACTAATTTTTATTTTAATGTCCGTCTGATAGATTATTTAAAAACATTAGACACGTATTTTTTATTTTCTCACAGAAACGAATAGTTTCGAAGATATATTGATTTGAAATGTCGCGTGACGTCACTTCTCAGTACATTTTATACTAAGAAATGACGTTTTATCCCCACTCCTAAACTTTGATTCGTTTTATCTAAGTATTGTTTTATTATACGACAAAATAAAAAAATACGTGTCTAATATTTTTTCATTACCTAACTTACGGACTAATTATATTTTTAATTTTCATACCCTGTCATCATCCCCATTACTCATGTTTTACTAAATAAATATATCTATATCTTTACTTAATCAGATTAAAACGCCTGAAGTGACCGGGATGAAATTTGGAACCTCAGAGGAGATTATGGTCTTTTTTAAGGGGGGAAAATCATCCAATGACTGCTCCCGCCTGGGTGAGGCGGGAGGGAGTGTCAGACTCTTACTGACTAAAAACCACCCCGTTCCTTCTCCTGCACGTCGAGCCGGAGCCCCGGTTACCCGTTAGGTTCTCCGCGACTGGAATAGCGGTAGATTATGGTCTAAAATAACACGTAGGCTATATTTTATCAAGTAGGCGAAGCCACTGGCAGAAACTAGTCTATACATATAATAAAATCGTAGAAAAGTCTAAACTGTACCTTGGATTTTTTTTTAAAGAATACTTGGGGCGTGATCTACAATCGATACCGAAGCTAAAAATATGGTTTTAAGAATTTTTGTTTATTTGTTTGTTTATCTGTATGTACCTATGTCCGGGATGATCTCAAAAAGTACTACATGGATTTACTTCAAATTTTGCATGAATATTACTAACAGGTCGGGTCAATATATAGGCTACATTTTATCACACCATTATCTACGGGGGAGGAGCCCTATACTAGGTACTGAATAAATTCTGACGACATATGTTATCGTAGAATATCCCTTGATAAAGACTAATTGAAAAGCCTAAAATCTGTCAGAAGTCATTATTACGGACTCTTACTGACTAAAAACCACCCCCTTCCTACTCCTGCACTTCGAGCTGGAGCCCCGCCAACCCGTTAAGTCTTCGTTCCCTCACGCGCTCCGCCTCCTCCTTAGCTAGCATGACTGCTTCGCAGAAGGAGAAGACGGCATCCCAGTCCCCCTCGCCCCGTACCATGGTTTGAACCAGAGCCAGACGCGAGAGGTCGCCGTCACCGATCACATTCCTGATGACACGGCGGTGCTCAGTCCACGCAGGACACACCGCTACCGTATGCTCCATCGTGTTCTCCGGGCGATCCTCGCAGTGATGACACCCGGGCGTTTCAATTAGTGGTCCACCTAAATCCTGGATCATCAGTATATCTTACTTGCTAGAGTCCCTCTGTAGGAGATCAGCTATGGTCATCATAGCGTCAGCGGCTGCATACATCCAGCATCGAAGGTCAACGTGACGCTCTATGTCTGAAGGGTGCGACGCCCTGCAATAGATTGTCATGATAAGAAGTAGACACTAGACAGAGGTGCACATACTTTACTACATAGTATAAAACAAAGTCGCTATCCGCCGTCTGTCTGTCCCTATGTATGGTTAGATCTTTAAAACTATGCAACGGATTTTGATGCAGTTTTTTTAATAGATAGAGCAATTCTTAAGGAAGGTATATGTATAACATAAGATAAAATCACGCCTTTTATCCCCGGAGGGGTAGGCAGATGTGCACATTATACCATTATACAATGTAACACCCACTTTTCACTATTTATGTTATGAGTCCCATGTAATAGGGGGTGAGCCTATTGACATATACCGGGCACATTTCCAGACTCCGTGCTACTACTGAGATTTTTAAAAACCCAGTAATACTTTGCTGGACCCAGGTATCGAACCCGAGTCCCCTTGCCCGGCAATCGCACTTGCGACCACTAGGCCAACGAGGCAGTCAGTTTATGTATAATACAGGCATAATATAGTAGAGAAACACTGATAAATTTAGAGGTTTTTAATTGCACTCATGCGAAGCCGGGGCGGGTCGCTAGTTCAAAATATGTAATTCAAAAAAGTCACCGTTTTTTATTGAAATTAGACTAATAAGACATTTTGAAAGTTCAGTAAGCCGTCGGGTCCCAGGCGGGGCCCCGATGGGCCGTATTTAGGTGTCAAGGTACTTGAGCAAAAAAAATAAATTATTATTTCAAATTTCTTTTTATGTAGAGGAGGCTCTGTATGCGAGATTTTAAGCGTGGACGACCCATGCCTAACCATGATTAGGTCGGCTCGACCGGAGTGATACCACGGCATCACAGAAAAGTGGCGTGATACAAAGCGTTGTATTTTGCCGTATAAGTGAAGTTATCGGAGGTCCAAAATGCATTTATAACTCGTCTATTGTTTCGGGTGTCCATAGGCGGCGATCATTGCTTACCATCAGGTGATCCGTTTTTTTATTTTTTTAAACGTTGTCCCACACTAGGATTTTCTCCTGTGTCGTGGGTGCGTTTACAAACATACAATTTCACATACACATGACACCCAGACCCGGAACAACAATCACATGTAGATCACATAAAGAGTTGTTCGGTGCGGGAATCGAACCCGCGACACGTTGCGCGGCAGCCAGTTGCCCAGCCACCGCGCCAACCGTGCAGTCTTGGCTTGTTTGCCGACCTTTTTTTTTTTTTGCCGACCTATACCTTAAAAGAAGTCCATAGTCCATAGTGACTTACCTAGGATAGTCATCAAGTCCAGAAGTCAGTGTTTTAGGGTTGAGCTGCAACCCATCATCTTCTCGGCCTCTCCATCTATACGAGGTGGGCTCATCTCCCTTCTGGGTGGTCTGGAACCATTGGTACCATGCCTGAAAGGAAATGTCTTCATTAAATATGATTATGATAATGCTAGAGAGTACAATAAATTGTCACCACCCCTACTCTTCCCGCGGGTATCGTATACCCACGACTCAGACTAACTTCAGAATACTCATTAGACAGAGATAGGGTAGGCAGAACAGCTCTTTAAAACCAAAAAGTCGACCGATTTCTTCATTACACTCGATCAAAAGTACCAGGCGCCCATAATACAGTAAGAGCTTCACGCACTCACCTGTAGCCGACTGAACATTCTGTCCAACGTGGCGCGGTGATTAGAACCAGTCACGAAGAGCTCCGGCGGTATCACCATGAAGTGGGTGAGTGGGGTCAACAAAATTGGTCGTTTTCTACAACTAAATCTTTGCCTACTTTTCCCGCGGGTGTTTTATACCCAGACTAACTGACTACCGGACTAGTTTATTAGACAAAGATAGATAGGATAGGCAGAAGTGTTCTGTAAAACGAAAAATCTCGACCAATTTCTTCATTACTCTCGAACAAAAGTACCAAGCGCCCATAATACAGTAAGAGCTTCACGCACTCACCTGTAGCCGACTGAACATTCTGTCCAAAGTGGCGCGGTGTTTAGAACCAGTCACGAAGAGCTCCGGCCGTATCTTCACGAAGTGGGCGAGTGGGGTCAACGACATTGGTCGTTTCCTACAACTAAATCTTTACCTACTTTTCCGTGGGTGTTTTATACCCAGACTAACCGACTACCGGACTACTTATTAGACAGAGATAGATAGGATAGGCAGAGAAGTGTCATAGTATAAACTATGGAACAGCTCTTTAAAACCAAAACCTCGACCGATTTCTTCATTACTCTCGATCAAAGTACCAGGCGCCCATAATACAGTAAGAGTTTCACGCACTCACCTGTAGCCGACTGAACATTCTGTCCAACGTGGCGCGGTGTTTAGAACCAGTCACGAAGAGCTCCGGCCGTATCTTCACGAAGTGGGCGAGCTGGATCAACAACATTGGTGGGTTGGCCGCCGCATTGCTTTGTACTACAAATTCTTTTGGTACTCTTGCTAACGCCTCCGCTCCTAGTAGGTGATAGTTAAAAATTTATGTTAAAATGTCTGATAAAGTTCCTGTTTGTTTAACTTGTTTGTTTGTACGCTTGTTGTGTCACATTTTCTGAGTTATATGTACTTTACTAGCTTTTACCCGCGGCTTCGCTCGCGTCACAAAAGGATAAAAGTAGCCTATGTGACATATACCAATACACACAGCGCCATCTATACCAATTCTTTTGTTTTCCCTCGGGAATATAAAAATTTTCCGGGTTAAAATGTAGCCTATTATTTAATCCGGACTTCTAACTTTACGTCTGCCTGCCTACGGAATTGGGCCTACGGTAACCTCACTCACACGACGAAACACAACACAACGTTGTTTCACGTCGGTCTTCTGCTCGGCTGTGGTATCACTCCGGTCTAACCGGCCCATTCATGTCGAAACATGGCTCTCCCACAGTTAAAATAACACACAGGCTACTTTTTACGCACGGGAAACGCGGGCGAATCCGATGGCGGAAGTTTTTGATAAGAAATTATGAGGTTCTTAACGTTTTAAATGAAAGCCAAGACCAAGTCCTTATCCCCCTATGCTCAGTCCTCAAATCCTCGGGGGATTCGCCCTCAAATCAAATCAAATCAAATCAAATCATTTATTTCGGTTGCAAACATGGGTTATAAAATATACAAAAGGTGTTTAATATTTATAGTATGGTTCTCCACATTTTGCCATTATGGCATGCAAGTATTTCCTAATCAATTTATCTACAAGTTTAACTTATACAACCTCATACAATATACGGACAATGCACTTGTAACATATGCGGATGGCCATGGGCGGCACCGATTGCTTATCATCAGGTTACTCTCATTCCATATTTTTCCACTCACCCAAGATCTGTTCCCGAGGAATCCATCCTTCAACGTTGATGAGATCCATCCAATGAGCTGCGATGTCCATCTGTATGTCTGGAGACCAGCGTCCAATCAGGAGACCATGGAAACCTTCGTCCCAGAGAAAACCACGAGGGAAGAATGACCTGGAGTGCATAAAAATGAAGATTTATCATCATGATCATCAGCAGCTTTGACAGTCCACTACTAGACAATGAGCCTCATATTCATATTTCGGATTAGTCGGATCTGTCGTGTCGGTCGAATTAGTTGTATCTGTCGTGTCGGTCGGATTTGTCGTATTTGTCGTGTCGGTCGGATTTGTCGTACTTGTCGTGTCGGTCGGATTTGTCGTATTTGTCGTGTCGGTCGGATTTGTCGTGTCGGTCGGATTTGTCGTGTCGGTCGTATCTGTCGTGTCGGTCGTGTCGGTCGGATCTGTCGTATTTGTCGTGTCGGTCGGATTTGTCGTGTTGGTCGGATCTGTCGGATTTGTCGTGTCGGTCGGATTTGTCGTGTTGGTCGTATTTATCGTGTCGGTCGGATTTGTCGTGTCGGTCGTATTTGTCGTATTTGTCGTGTCGGTCGTATTTGTCGTATTTGTCGTGTCGGTCGTATTTGTCGTGTCGGTCGTATTTGTCGTGTTTGTCGTGTCGGTCGGATTTGTCGTATTTGTTGTGTCGGTCGTATTTGTCGTGTCGGTCGTATTTGTCGTGTCGGTCGGATTTGTCATGTCGGTCGTATTTGTCGTATTTGTCGTGTCAGTCGGATTTGCAGTGTCGGTCAAGTCTGTCGTGTCGATCGTGTCTGCTGTGTCTGTCGTATCTGTCGTGTCGGTCAAGTCTGTCGTGTCGATCGTGTCTGCTGTGTCTGTCGTATCTGTCGTGTCGGTCAAGTCTGTCGTGTGGATCGTGTCTGCTGTGTCTGTCGTATCTGTCGTGTCGGTCGCGTCTGTCGTGTTGGTCGTGCCATGTCGTGTCTGCGCTCTAGGCAAGCACCTTATGTGCGCCACTAATTTATTTTGCCGCCGCCGTCTCTGCAGTTGTGCAGGCACGTCTCGCGGCACTTGTCCAGTTTGCCTTAGGTTTCCCTATAAAGTTCTGATATGATTATCTTACCTGCTAGGCACACCAGTATACAGCGGCGCCCTCCAATAAGGCACTGGTTCCCTGGTATACTGTGATTGGACTCGCCCAGCGCCGAAGAAGTATCCAATACCCCCTACCATGTTGGCTAACGCCGCTCTGGCTATTGCCACGTCCTCTGGTGGGTAGCTGGGGGAGAAAAAGTAAAATTGTGTATTCTAACTGATAAGTGTGGGAGAGCCATGCTATCGTACGAATGGGCCGGCTTAACCGGAGTGATACCACGGTGAGCAGAAAACCGACGTTAAGCAACGCTTGTGTTGTGTTTCGTCGTCTGAGTGAGGTTACCGGAGGCCCAATTATCCTCCCCTTCCCCAATCTCCCCAATCCCTGAATCCCCAACGATCCTCAAACTCCTAATCTCCAAAAAGCCGGTAACGCACTTGTAACGCCCCTGGTGTTCCAGGTGTCTATGGGCGACGCCGATTGCTAACCATCAGGTGATCCGACAGCTCGTTTAACGGCTTATGCCATAAAAAAAAACTGACTGACTGAGTGCCTCGTCGGCCGAGTGGTCGCAAGTGCGACTGCCAGGCAAGGGGTCTTGGGTTGGATTCCCAGGTCGGGCAAAGTATTACTGGGTATTTAAAAAAAATCTCAGCAGTAGCACGGAGTCTGGAATTGTGCCCGGTATATGGCAATAGGCTCACCCCCTATTACATGGGACTCATAACTTTGTTACTTAATCCCGTCAAAACCGCTGAAGCGATCGGGATGATATTTGGAACAAGGGTAGGTTATAGTCTGGAATAATATATAGGCTACTTTCTATATAACAGGAACGCGGACGTAACCGCGGGCAGAAGCTAGTCAACAATAATATTACCCTTTTTCATCCAATCGGAATTTCGATTCAAATTCCGCGTCAAACTCTCTCTTCTTCTCTTGTAGAACTCTGGCGTACTTCTCTCCCTTAAGTGGAGGTGTTGAGAGATCTTCTGTCGTGTACACAATATCTACACAAAACGGAGTCTCCACTAACATTTGGATTGGGACGAAATTGATGTCTTTTTCCTGTAAAAAACAAAAGTTGATAATTTAGTTTTAATGTCAAAATTTTAATGTTTTTTAATCTTCTATACAAGGTGTTGTTTTAAAGCCGCGTCATTTTCTAGGAGGTAACTCGGCTATCGATCCTGAGTCCGAATCAATAAAAAAATATACTTAAATATTTCTCAATTTTCTGTAAATTACGGAAATCCGTAAGTGCGAACTACACGCCGCCGTCTTGTAACTAGATTTATAACGCGGCTTAACACACACAAACTCAAACACGTAATTGTTATTATTCCTAATTCCATAAAACTCCAATACTGTCGAACTTAAACGATTAATTATAGCCGTATTTTTAACTATTGGCCCGAAATTTTCTATTACATTGAACCTTTATGACTTCTGTGACATGCCCCCGAGAAATGCCACGGTTTCAAAACTACACCTTGTATAAATAAAAAAAATCCGTTCGTTAGTCTCGCTAAAACTCGAGAACGGCTGAACCGAATTGGATATTTTTGGTGTTTAAATGTTCGTGAAAGCCCAGGGAAGGTTTATAAGGTGAGATAAAATATTTTAGGCGATACGAACTTTGCCGGGTCATGTACGAGGGCGCGGGTCCGAAGCCTACCAACGGCAAGTACCAATGTGACCTTTTCCGAGTTATACAAAGTGTAGTTTTCAAACAATGTCATTTCTCGGGGCCATATCACAGAAGTCATAAAGGTTCAATGTAAGAGAAAATTTCGGGCCAATAGTTAAAAATACGGCTATAATAAATCGTTTAAGTTCGACAGTATTTCAGAATAAGCGACAGCAATGTTTCTTATTGGAGTTTTATGGAATTAGGAATAATATCAATTACGGTTTGAGTTTGTGTGTTTTAATCCGCGTTATAAAGCTAGTTACAAGACGGCGACGTGTACTTCGCACTTACAGATTTCCGTAATTACAGAAAAATGAATAAATATTTACCTACAATTTTTTTATTGATTCGGACTCAGAATCGATATCCGAGTTACCTCCTAGAAAATGACGCGACTTTAAAACAACACCTTGTATGTACGTTCTAAGATTATTTAGACACCAAAGACGTGACCGAAGCCCCATGAAATAACGATGAAGGAAAACATCGCGAGAAACTTGTCTTATAATTTCTAATTACAAGTTTGGAATCGCCAACCCGCATTGAGCAAGCGTGGTGATTAATGTTCAAACCTCCTCCGTGTGAGAAGAGGCTTTGCTCAGCAGTGGGGATTTATAGGCTGTTGATAATGACGACAATGATGATGAGAACGTAATATATTAAAAATTATATATTTTTATAATAACTATCGTGAGACATACTAAATTAAGTAAAATCGCGGGTTACTCGCGTGAATATACTGAGAAAAGCTCTACTAGTTTCGAATCACAGAGGGGTGCATCCTCATGAGCAGCGTGCGCGGTCGCGGTGACGTCACATCGACAGTGAGCTGCGCGACTAACTAGTAGAGCTTTTCTCAATATATTTACGGGAGTAACCCGCGATTTTACTTAAAAAATATATATTATATAATATGAATTTACTCTTACTCACCTTAATATGCAGTTCATCATCAGCTCCAAGTACTGCTAGCTTGCCAAACATGGAATGTCTTTCAATTTTGAGCAGAGAATAGAGTTTCTCCTTCAAAAGATGAAGCCCTGGTGCATTCGCCTCGGAGTATGAAGTGTGGAGGAGTTTGCCTGAAAAAATAATATATCTTATACTATTATATAAAGCGGAAGAGTTAGATTTTCTTTTTTTGTTTGTTTGTTTGTTTGAACGCGCTAGTCTCCGTAACTACAAGTCTGATTTGAATAATTATTTTTGTGTTGGATAGCACATTTATCGAGGATGGCTATAGGCTATAAAACATCACGCTACGACCAATAGGAGCTGAGCAGAGCGTGTGAAACCGCGCGAAAGGATAATAGTAAAGCTAGTATAATATATAGATCGCAGTTATATAAACAAACATCTTTATTGTTGCTACCCGCGACTTTGTCCGCGTAGAATATGAATTTTAGAATATGACTTTTTTGCAAATCGGTCCAGCCATTTCAGAGATCAGCCAGTACAAAAAGATAAACAGCCAGAAAGAAAGAATATAAATTTCAAAGTCAAAGCATTTATTTCAATTAAACCATAATTTGGTACTTTATGAAACGTCAACAAATACAAAATAAATAGTCTGTCAGTCAGTCCGTCAGTGACGCTAGGTGAAGATAGGTGCTCATCTACCCTACTGACACTTACCTTGCTGAGGCACCAAATTGATCCTAAAGTTGTGTAATTGAGGAGTATGACCTAAGATGGAGCCATCTTCATACCACAGCCTGGAGTGGGGGGCGGCAGGGCCCAAGGACTCGTCTAGTGCAGCATACCATATCAATACGAATGGTACTTTCGCATGACCCTGGAAGAACAAGATGAAAATGAATGAATAAATGATGAATTGTGCGACCTACCCAAATGTTTTTTTTACCGACTTCCCAAAAAGGAGGAGGTTATCAATTCGGCTGTATGTTTTTTTTTGTGTATGTTACCCGATTACTCCGACGTTTGTGGACGGATATTGATTATTCTTTTTTTGTTGGAAAGGTGATACTCTCGGGGTGCTCCCTTTTCCACCAGGTCAGGATCTGATGATGAGATCCCATGGAAACCGGGGGAACTTTTCAAAATTGTATGGGTGGCGAGAGCGTTTGTTAATTTTGTGATATAGGTAGTATTTGAAACCACTACAATTTGATGAAGGTATAGAGTTGATCTGATGATGGAGTCAAGAGACAGCCGAGGGAACTCGAGGATTTATAGCAATGACCCCGTGTTTGGGCTTAAATTATTTGTATTGAGAAGATCTTCACATCTAGATGGGATGTAATTGTCATTGGGGGCCTGATGATGAAGTAGTATGATAGCTAAGGGAACTCCTCAACGGTTAACAATAGCTACCTGGTGTTTAGGCTTGATTAATTTGTAGTGATGAGAACTTTACACCTGTATGGGGTGTGATTGTCATTAGGAGCTTGATGATGAAGTAGTACTATAGCTAGGGGAACTCCTAGTCGCGGAGAACCTAGCGGGTAACCGGGGCCCCGGCTCGACGTGCTCCTGCACGTACGTACCAGTATACAATGTATATTCCACATTGGTGCAAAGTTCTCATCATTACAAATTATTCAAGCTTAAACACAAGGTAAACGGTTAATAGTAGCTATTAATCGTTTAGGAGTTCCCTTTTTTTTAAGGGGGAAAATCATCGAATAACTTCTCCCGCCTGGGTGAGGCGGGAGAGAGTGTCAGACTCTTGCTGACTAAAAACCACCCCGATCCTTCTCCTGCACTTCGAGTCGGAGCCCCGGCAACCCGTTAAGTCTTCCACGGCTCCGGATCGGCATCAGCCCTATTGGGCCATCAACCCATCCGTGGTGGTCTGATGGAGACCCAAAATATAAAAAAACCCTTACCTTAGTAGTAACATTAATCCTGGCTGTCCAGTGACCCCCGTGTTCTCCTCCCGGGGTCTTGATGAACGAGGTGGTGATATTGTGGGGTTTGTCCACAATCAGTTGCTCCCCGAACGTGACCCCATCGTGGCGGAGCCAGCCGTACGTGTCTAGATTGTCGTTTTGGTCACACCAGTGGCTGGAAGAAATAATAATAATAATTAGCCCGCAGGGCACCTTGAGGCGAGGTGACGGGCATTAGCGATCCCGCGAGCTACCATCATCCCGAGAGCTCCAGGGAGAAGTCACCGTTCCTTCTTCTCCGGCTTGCCTTAATTAGCTGGCTGGAGTGAAAGATGACAAGGAACAGGTCTCCCACCTCTGGCTTGCCTTCATTGGCCGTCCAGAGTGGAGTCGCGAGAGCAGTGAACCTGCTCGGAGGGTAAGAAACTATTCGTAAGTCGCGAGTGGGCCAGGGATGCAGGAGGCTTCGGCTGGAGCAGATGATCTGAGTATAAAGCGGTGGTAGTTTCTTAACCCTTCAGCCACTCACATTCTCGTTGCCCCTCTGTTGCTATATCTAGCAACCATTCCCGGGGCCCGGTTGGTGAGTTGGCGAGTCTCCGCCTGCCATTTTTACGTGTAAAAATTACATTGTTTCGGCAGGTGCCATAGTCATCCATAGTTCCCAATTTACCAGTCCACAGCAACCCATCCATAGCCCTACGTTTTTTTCCATTATTCACAATAGTTTTACACTAACCGGGGACTGTCCTTGGGTGCATTTCCATAGTGCATACAGGGATAGTCGCCGGTTTGTGTGTCCATTACAGTTAGATTAATGTTGTCTAAAGAGCCTCTGCGCAGCTCTCGCTCTCTAAAGAGCCGAAGCCAACTGGCTTCGGCCCCTCGTACGCCTCCCAAATGACCGGGACCCTGTGGTCCCGTGAATGGTAAAGACATACATAATAATTACCTTTATTGGCTTTATTTATTTTGTTTACTTGATTAATATATTTTTAAATATTTGACTGCCTTATTGGCCGAGTGGTCCCAAGTGCGACTGCTGGGCAAGGTGTCTTGGGTTCGATTTCTGGGTTGGGCAAAGTATTCCTGAGTATTTTAAAAATTCTCAGTAGTAGATAGCACAGAGTTTGGAATTGTGCCCGGTATATGACAATACCTCACCCCTTATCCCTACTTATTATTACATGGGACGCATAACACCAATAGTGAAAAGTGGGTGTTACATTTTACAGTAGCATTAAGTGCCGTAACGTGCACCTCTGCCTACCCCTTCGCGGATAAAAAGTGTGATGTTACGTTACGTTAAATATTTGTTTTAAAAAACATTTAAAAATGAACTATTAACTCTTTATTTACTTTTAATACTTGTTTCATACATTTTTAAATATTACTATTAAAAGAAAACTAATTATTATTAATATTATCACTAGAATTATCGTCGTTGGTCGAAAGGAGCGGATTCAATTAGTGGGCAGGAAAGAGACATTGGGCCTGCATTTTTGAAAATTTCAGATAGCATGGAGCGTGGAATTGTGCCTAGTGTATGACAAGAACTACTTGCACTTAACATTAAATGGGACTTTAACATAAATGGTGAAAATTAGGTGTTACATTTAGGTACTACATAGTAACATAATATGACGTACTCAGCATAACTATTTGAAGTATTTTTCAAGTCTGTCTATGGGTCATTTTACCTTTCCTGACTTAAAACTAATCATAAATCAAGCACAATTTAATATATGCGTTTTTTTTAAATTTGGTGGGCCGACGTTTGACCACTATCTCGCCTGGTGGTAAGTGATGATGCTGTCTACGATGGAGCACGTCGTCCCATAAGCAACCTATTCACTCGGGCCTTGAAGACACTCAGGTTATAAATATATACCCTTCAGGAAATACAGACTCTGGCAAAGAATTCCACTCCTTAGCGGTACGCACAAGGAAGCTTCTTTTTTCTAGAAACATTCTGCCTCACACCGCATAGCTAAAACTGTAGAATGCGGTATTCCCGAACCGATACGACCTTCAAGAAAAGGCCAGAAACGCACTTGTGAATCCTCTTGTGTTCCATGTGTCCAAGGGCGACGCCGATTGCATACCATCAGGTGATCTATCTGTCTGCTCGTTTGCCGGCCTATAAAGATAAGAACAGTGACATGTCTATAATTTAAATCATGTATTTAAATAATGGGAACTCACCGTATCCCCTTATGCGTGGCTGCTGCCAACTCATACCACATGATACCAAACACAGGAGACCGAGGCTCCCTGCTCTTCAACCCGAGGTAGACTCCAGGTCTGTACGTACCCCAGTAGCGGTCTGCTACCTGCAGGCCTGAGTCTTTGACAACCTGGAATTAAATATATTAATTATTATTATTTATTTCTTCTAAACACAAAATTACAGTGAACGGTGGACTTGATGCCTTAAGCCTAACCTAAGATGAACTCTTAATTTCAACCGTTTTTTTTTAAGGGGGGATAATCATCGAATGACTGCTCCCGCCTGGGTGAGGCGGGAGGGAGTGTCAGACTCTTACTAAAAACCACTAAAAACCACCCCGTTCCTTCTCCTGCACGTCGAGCCGGAGCTCCGGTTACTCGTTAGGTTCTCCGCGACTCCGAATCGGCATCGGCCCTATTGGGCCCCATCTGTGGTGGTCTGATGGCTCTTTGAGGCTCGCGCGGAACGCGACGCGCCGTACGCTCGGGTCTGTTTCTGGTCGGACGGGGAGCCACCCATGCTCGCCGTCCGCAGGCCCGCGTAATGACAACCCTAGCACGAGTAGGGTTAATGGGAGGTCCTAAACGATATCTCGAAGCTGGTGATGGTACAAAGGGACCGCGTAATCAGAGGAAATGGCTTTTCTTTTGCCCACTGCTGAGCAAAACATTTTTCACACGGAAAAGCATTGAGCATTAATCACCACGCTTGCTCAATGCGAGTTGGCGATTTCAAACTTAATTAGAAATTATAAGATCAGATTTTTTTATGGCATAAGCCGGTAAACGTGCAGACGGATCACCTGATGGTAAGCAATCGGCGTCGCCCATGGACAACTGGAACACCAGAGGCGTTACAAGTGCGTTACCGGCCTTGTGGGGATTAGGAGTTTGAGGATCGTTGGGATTCAGGAATTGCGGAGATTGGGGAAGGGGAGAGTAATTTGGCCTCCGGTAACCTCACTTACACGACGAAACACAACGCAAGCGTTGCATCAGATTTCCTCACGATGTTTTCTGGAAATTGAATCTCACGTTTTTGTTTTTACGTTTGGACCCGCACCCTCTAGCATGAGAGGGGAGCGTCTAAATCTGAGCCACCACGACATTCAATTCAATCTAACGCCATTTTAGACCATATTTCAGAAGAGAATACATTTTTATGAACAAATTTTGTGTAGTTTTCATATGAAGATAAAGGATTTGTACCTTTTAAACAGCTATCTCTTGGAATCATGAAGATAATTGAGTGTTATGAGATAATGGATTGTAACAGGCTGTTGATCTTGTACATTAATAACCATCGCAAAGCATTATAAATGAGATTAAAGCTAATCTACCAAGAGGTTAACTTAAACAAATCTACATGTTTTTTTTAAAAGAGTAACGAATGGAGTTTCATACTCGTTCTTCTCCATTCGAATCTACATTTTGGAACGAGCACCTAGCTTCATCTAGCTTCATTGACGGACTGACTGACAGACTATTGTGTTTGTTGACGTTTCAAAAGTACGAAATTATGATTAGTTCTTTGGTTGCTTCGTTGGTCGAGTGGTCGCAAGTGCGACTGCCGGGAAAGGGGTCTTGGGTTCGATTCCCGGGTCGGGCAAAGTATTACTGGGTTTTAAAAAATTTTGAAATTAAATTTGAAATGGTTCAGTAGTAGCACGGAGTCTGGAATTGTGCCTGGTATATGGCAATAAGCTTACCCCCTATTACATGGGACTCATAACGTAAATAGTAAAAAGTGGGTGTTACATTGTACAGTGGCATTAAGTGCCGTAATGTTGCCTAGTGCCTACCCCTTCGGAGATACCCGAGCGTACGGCGCGTCGCGTTCCGCGCGCGCCTTAAAGAGCCATCAGACCACCACAGATGGGGCCCAATAGGGCCGATGCCGATTCAGAGTCGCGGAGAACCTAACGGGTAACCGGGGCTCCGGCTCGACGTGCAGGAGAAAAAACGGAGTGGTTTTTAGTCAGTAAGAGACACTCCCTCCCACCTCACCCAGGCGGGAGCAGTCATTCGATGATTTTACCCCCTTAAAAAAAAAAAACCCTTCCGGGATAAAAGGCGTACTGTTATGTTGTCTTAAACCGCATTATCCTAATTACTTTAGGCTAAACTAACATCATTTATGTAATAAAAGTGAGTTAACTACAATATTGTACAAACCCTCTTAGTCATCAAGTTGAGTGACACAAAATATCATGCCTTTGTTTTCTGACATAGTCAGCTGAGTACATGTTTTAAATGACTTCAAAAAAACCGTTCTCACTTTGACTTATGTATCTATGTATATTTGTGTTATTTAACCATTGATTGGTTGAACCAATTGTCGTTCGGTTTTCAGACAAGTGTTTGTTACACTTAGGAAAAGAGAATGGAGAATGATTTAACTCGTCGAGTACCGTTATTATAGACACAATTAAAGAACAATAGGTTGCGGTCACCGGTGACCGCGGTGTTTGACAGTTTAATGTTAACTAATGTAGATTGCTACAGATTCTGACTGCACGGTTGGCGCGGTGGCTGGGCAACTGGCTGCTGCGCAATGTGTCGCGGGTTCGATTCCCTCACGGAACAACTCTTTGTGTGATCCTTAGATTGTTGTTTCGGGTCTGAGTGTCATGTGTATGTGAACTTGTATGTTTTTAAAAGCACCCACGACACAGGAGACAAAACCCTAGTGTGGAGCAACATTATTTAAAAAAAAAAAGAAACAGATTCAGTATTCACACAGACTGCTCCCCAAAGGGTTTCTAGCTGGATTCCTAATAGGGTAGATGCCTAATTTTTATTTTAATGTTCGTCTGGTAGATTATTTTAAATCATCAATTTCGACGATATATTGATTTGGAATGTCGCGTGACGTCACTTCTATGTACATTTTATACGTAGAAATGACGTTTTAGCCCCCACACCTAAACTTTGATTCGTTTTATCTAAGTATTGTTTTATTATAAGACAAAATAAAAAAATACGTGTCTAATATTTTTTCATTACCTAACTTACGGACTAATTATAATTTTAATTTTCATACCCTATCATCATCCCAATTAAGGGTATTGAAGACTAATATTGATTTCTCAAAGAGTCGGTTGGGGTTATTAAGGCCACCTTTGTAATCGTTTTTAAATATTGTTAAGTATAAATGAAGGCAGGCGAACCGGTCAATCATGATCAACTGGATGATCGTGACCGTGTCCAGTCGATTGTCACAAGGCAAAAAAAAAATATAAACAAACAGACCAGGCTGCCCAAACTAAACTACAACAGCATCACCTTGTGTAATTTTGCAATATCACAACATAGTTTTAACAAAGTCGCTATCCGCCGTCTGTCTGTCCCTATACTGCTTAGAGATAAATTATTATTTTGTCTGATAATGGTTAGGAGCCTGGAGTGATATAGGCTATCTTTTTCCTGTAGCCACGCAAATAAATCCGCGAATGAAAAACTATTTCTTAAATTGATATAAACAATTACACACTTATCAGTAAGCGAGTAAATAAAAATCTATAAGAAAACTAACACGGAAATAATAAATAAACCGATAGTTAAATACTCTGATCGTCCTGATAAAATTATTTGAAATAAAATACGGGAAATTGATGCAACGTTTCGCTTACCTTATCATCGTCAAAAGGTGTGTTGACGCGTGTTTCAAGGTAGCCCAGAGTGCTGATATACACCGCAATTAAAAAACAAACGCAACCGACGCCGGTTTTCCACACAGAAAGAAATTTAAAGGTTCTACTACCGATAGAAGATTCGCTGCAGCCAGAACTACTGCTTGCATCCTTATCTGTCTTTAGCGAAACTACTTTTCTATGCCTGACCATCTTCATAACAACTAATTTATAATATGTACTTCTAATTGACACTATTTGTTTTTAATTTATTTCTAAGTTCATTTAATTTATTTAATCGGCGTTCGCTATTGCCGATTTGCGACCGTCAATACGCGAGCGCGTTTGACGTTTCGTTTTGGTTTTAGTGATGTGTAAGTTTTAGTAAAAAAGTACCATTTGCTAGTCGACTATTGCTTTCCTATCAATTGGAATCGGATAAATAATGGTTTAGTAATGATGGGAATTATGATGTCCACATTATTAGTAACCTTATTCCTTACTCATCAGAGCTGAATTGCATCACATAAAATAGGTGGTAAAAATACAATGATAAATAACTTAATAGTAGGATTGTCATAATTATGTAGGGCTTAAAACATTTGTGTTTAAGACGTTGTTGGCCAAATGCGATGCAACTAGAGTATCACTTTTTTAAGTGTATAATTCCTCTCCGTGGTGTTTAAGCATTGGTTGTTAAAACAGAGCCAAAATCGATAACAAAACTTTTTTGAAGTTTATTGTATAATCTCAGGTAGCTTAGAGATTCCATTGTTTCGTTTTTACGTTACTTGCAAACACAAATAAAACTTTTATGAAAACAAAGACCTTTTAGGTTAATTGGGGATGCTAGGTACCTGAAAATGGTCGATGCACTTTCATTCATAAAAGTAGTAAAATCTGCAGTAGTATATGGTTATAGCATAGCACATTTATTAGGATAGACTGGTTAGTCTCGTGATTATTCGAGCCACTATTTATAGAACAAATATAAGAATACTGGAAAATATTGGAGTTAGAGAGAATTTATTTTAAATTTTTATTTTAAAAATTACAAACACTGGAACTTTTAGTCGAATGCTGACATTTTAAATTCGAACTTTTAGTAACATTGGAACATCACTCAACATCAATACGTGGGGCGATATGACATTTCATTTGATGCGTTTCATTTCGTTCAAAAACATATTAATTAAAAGCCTTAGACAAATATAAGTAATAAAACCAATAATATATTTGTGAATCGGCTTCATGATAAAGCTTTTAACTTATCATTACTCGCTTTAGTTACTACTTATCAACTAGTCAGTAATTGTCCCACTTCTAAACGAAGCCTGTTCTTTATCGAAGGGATGAGCATTACTTTACTTTAAGTGTGGGAGAGCCATACTTCGGCACGAATGGGCCAGCTCGACCGGAGTAATACCACGGCCTCACAGAAAACCGACGTAAAACAATGCTTGCGTTGTGCTTCATCGTGTGAGTGAGGTTACCGGAGGCCAAATTACCCCCTCCCCCTTTCCCAATCTCCCTAATCCCTGAATCCCCAACAATCCTCAAATTCCTTATGCCCAAAAGGCCGGTACCGCACTTGTAACGCCTCTGGTGTCCCAGGTGTCCACGGGCACGGGAATAAGGAATTGGGGATGGGGGTAGTGCTGGGCCTCCGATAACGTCACTCATAAGGTGAAACACTTCGCACTAGTACGCACGGGCTCCTGTGGTAACGTGGTATTACTCCAGTTTGGAGTTGAGCTGGTCCATTCATAATGAATTGTAATACCTAGCTCCCCCGCCTAAAAATAAATAGCAATAACACTATTACCCGATCTATGAACCAAAGACCTATTGCTCAGCAGTCGCTCTCGCGGCCCCTCGGCCAACGAGGCAGACGTAAATAGTAAATAGATTATCTACTATGTACGTACATATTTTTAACTTGAATCTAATAATTAATCTAAAATTGGTTTGGTTTCGATGGTGCGAGTTCGAAACCTACCAACGGCAGGTACCAATGTGACTTTTTCCGAGTTATATGTTGTACCTGTACTTGTACCTGTACTTTCTAAGATTATCTAGACACCACTGACAAACGGTGAAGGAAAACATCGTGTGGAAACCTGGGCTTATCATTTCTAATTATAAGTTTGAAATTGCCAACCCGCATTGAGTAAGCGTGGTGATTAATGCTCAAACCTTCTCCATGTGAGAAGAGGCTCTGCTCAGCAGTGGGCATTTATAAGCTGTTGATTATGGTTTGGTAATTAGAAATAAACAAAATTCATTCTTCTTATTCCAAAACATTACAGAAAAATGGGTCAACCAACTCAGCAATTTTATTTTATAGTAAAAGCTCAAAAAATTTCGGCGTCAAATTTTTACTAAAACATTAAATTAGTAAATAACACCATCTATATGCACACATGGGAACTAACATCTTTGCGGTTGCTAAATAAATATATCTTTTATATTTTTGCAGTTCAAAGTCAACAGGATATAATCAATTTAAATTCTCAAGCCTCAAAACAAGTGAACTCAGGTGTTTTACTTAGTATAAAAAAAGTTATCATTTTTTATTTTACTCTTTATGACAACCGCATCGGCGGCGTTTGACCTTCACGTTGGTAAAGCGCTTTACGTTTAGCCGACTGTCGATAAAATGGGTTGTGTTATTTAGGTGAATGATGTTTTTGTAGTTAATGTAAATATGAAATTGAAAATTGGTTTTACTATACTTTTTACCATATAATAAACTAATAATAATTTACTATAATTATCATAATCGAATGCAAAAGCAGAGATACTTATTCACGTTAGATGAAATGTTTAGAAATTTTAATAAATCTAGGCGCACATCTTAAAATAACACACACTTAATAAAATACTTTTTCATGGTTTTGTTTCCTAGGTACATACTTACCTATATTAAAGCTCAATTTGTAGTATCCACGAAATATAAGGCAGTCAGTTGTTACCTCTATTCTCTGTTTAACGAACTGCCTACTTTTATATCATACAACAGAAAATATAACTAGCTAATCCTTAGTTGAAACAGTTGTCGTAATTGATATCTTTTTATAAATAAAACATTTTAAAGTTAAATAAATATATAAATAAGCTATACCGCTTCATACACAAAACCTCAATCGCTTCAAGCACTCATTTCACAGCGAACCACAAACCGCGCCACCTGTCCGTTCTAAATGTAGATAAAACAGGCCAGAAATACTCGGCGTCGGTAAAACAGGCGCTCCCCCCGCGGCGGCGTGCCGACCCCTCCGAGGGCGAACGAAAAACCAGTGCGATCGAGCGACACATACCGCGCGTACCTGCCACAAACGCATAAACGCGGCACGCTTCGCGATTATGATGAACCGAACACAACATTACACGCAATTATTCAGTGAAATAATGTAAATAATAACGTTAATTAACATTTAGTATAGTTTTAGTGCAGTGTGAAACCGTGAGCATTGTTTACCGGCCGGCGAAAGCACGCGACAACGCTCCCGAAAAAAAAAAACTCAAATGTCCGTGCAAGTGAGGATGCTTGTGTCAGTCAGTGTAGTGTGTTAAAATAGGTAAATGTATAAACGGCGTGCTATGATCGTATGAGGAAGAAAAGCACAAGGAACATTGTAAGTGCAGAGCGTGTGGCTCTAGTGTTATTACTGTTGTTTGAGAGCAGAAATGCGGGGTAGCTCGCCCCAATCCAAGAAGGTTTTATCCGAGTGGGGCGGCTGCCGCTGATCAAAAACGGAGGTACGGAGGTCTATCCCTCGTGTACTCAGTGTTTTTTTATACCGAAGCAGGTCCCACGTAACCCCTTTTTTGTTCGACGCGTTTTTTTGGAGGGAATGTTTATGAATCGATACTCTTATAGGTTATAAGCGCCTAGTACTCGCGTCCGAGTTCCTACACGCGTTTTTGATAAATAAACACAAAAAAATCGATTCGTTCGATACGAGTTGTTGTTTTTTCGAAAACAAACTTTGTTTTTTCCGTTGCCGGCTAACTTCGGGTTTTATCGTTGAAAAGTTTAGGATAACTTGTATGCGTCCGTGTATGTGTTTAGTAGTTTTCAATTGGAATTCATACAATCAAGCTAAAAACCCTCTTAATCTAATGAAAACAAACAAAATTAATCACTTTTTTACCATAATTTAATCCGAATTAGTTATGAGAGAGACTTCCAACGGTAAATTTATGGTAGGCTTCGTGTAACGCACTATTTCGTCTAATATCAATGGTGTAGGCAGAGATACCGGTTCGCTTGTCCTTCTATTAGCCTTTACTAAAAGATTTAACTTGTTTTTATTATTAGAAATTGATAAAAACAACAAAAACAGTGTTGAACAAAAATCTGACTGAATGCCTATCTATATATAAGGTCCACGAAAAACATTTCAAATGTGGGATTAGTAGACCAACTACCTAAGTATTGCGAATGAAACCTCTTTGATTCTTATGACAGCCTGGTACTTTGACGTCCTTGACATTGAAACCTATGACTTCAATCTAGGGCCTAATGTCTCAAAGTATCAGATAAAGTCCCAGTAAGTTTAACTGACAGATAATTTTACGTATTTGCACGTACAGTTTTGTCTAATTTAGGTATTTGTCGGATATACTAACAGAAATTAGTCATTGTGATTCAGGCCCTTATTCATTCCTATTTTTAACCGACTTCATAAAAGGAGGAGGTTCTTAAAATCAGCTAAACTTTTCCCAAAAGAGGGTAAGCAGAATGCAGAAGAATGCCTACATTGTCTCCAGTTATCGTTATGTGATCTATGTAACACCTATAAAGTCATTTCTAAAACCTAGTTCTAGTTTCGAAATACTAAAACAATAACGTTTCCAGAAATCGAATTTACGTTATGTTAGTACTAACAAACACACAGAAAAAGCTTTCGTTAAAATTCGTAGTTCGTAAATCGTATTCTTACGCTTTTAAAATCTCGAAATTATTTAAGATAGAAATCTCACCAGAGGTTTCGCAAATTGCCTGATTCGTCAGGCAAGTCAAGTAATATCTAGTACTAGTCGCGGATAACCTAACGGGCTACCGGGGCTCCGGCTCGAAGTGCAGGAGAAGGAACGGGGTGGTTTTTAGTCAGTAAGAGTGACACTCCCTCCCGCCTCACCCAGGCGGGAGAAGTCATTCGATGAATTTCGCTCCTTAAAAAAATATATCTAGTACTACCTATTCCTGATTC